CTCAAATTTGTTCTTTACAGCCAAGTTGTATTCCAGTAAGAATGAAAAGGGGGATGTGAAATGAAGAGGAAGGATGGGGGAGGGGATTAAAAAAAGAAACAAGCTATATTATATGCATGTACCCACTATCCAAGATGATAGTAAAATGCATGCACCACATTCATGTCCTAATAAGATAAAATTTAAAAATTGATGGTTTAAATAAAATATATTACAATATTGACAAAAATATAGGGCTGGAGAAAGGGGTAAAACACACTATGGGGGAAATTACAAGAGTGTGACTGACCAGCAGCCCAGTATTATTCAATATACCCCATTTCCACAGGGGAGAGGGAAAATAGAAAGGGTAGGCAATTTTGAAGGGAGCAGTAAATGATGTTTAGGTGAACTCTTTGGTCTACGGAATGGACCCCAGCTTGTACATGATCCTCCACGGACTGAAGTCGAGGATAATGATGTATGACAAGTCTCCCCAGTGTACTGAGAGATTTCAGTCTTCTTTTCTGTGACATAGTTTAAATCATGAAGCTCACAATAGGAATCAGAGGCAGTTATTTTCTTCCTGGGAGGTCCAGACTGTCAGCAGAAGTAGATACGCAAGGAAAGCCCTTCCTAGCATGTTCTGCTAAGCTCCTTTTAGTAAGCATGATCAGTAATCAGGGTGCCATATTTGGGAGTGACAGTCCCTGGGCTCTTTAAAAGTCATGGAAACTTGCAGTTCCTCAAAATCTTCCCAGAGATTTTGGTAGCTGAGCCTCAGGGGTTTGCCTCAGACCCATTTCCTCCCTCCTAATAGGCTTATTATTTCCTTAGCAGCACTTACTCCACGGTGGCCTCTTGTAAGCCATCCTCTCTCCCGTCCCCTTTCCAACGTTTTACTCACTTCAGGCAGAGTCAGCACCATGTGGTAGAAGTGGGGTTGCCCAACTTATCTTAAATATTTATCTTGAATAAATCACTTCTGTTTTCTGAGATTCAGACTATTCAAAGCTGTATGGGAGCACATGTATGTACCGTACAGAAAAGTTGCTTAAATGTGGAAGACTGTTTCGATAGAAACTGATTTGTGGTAAGTGGTTAGGAAATGTATTTTCTTTCCCATCTCTCAGTCTCCTGTCCTCCATAAATCACTGTTAGGAGAAAAATCAATACAGAAGTGAAAAGGAAGAGGGACAGGAGGGGAGGGTTTTCAATGGGGAGGGAATAGAAAATGAATTGGAGTTTTCTAGCTGGTACGGTAGTGAGGATGTGCCTTAGCCTGAAGGGAGAATAGGAGGACGGCATACCAGGGGACAGTGTGCTACAGTGGAAATTATGTAGCCTTTCTACTGGCATGGCCCTGGCACTGGCTCAGTTCTAGTGAGGGCCTTTTCAGCTGGGTCACATCATGGCAGATGGCAAAGACAGGAGCATGTACATGAGGAAGTCATTGCATCTGGCAAAGAAGCCAGAGAGAGCTCCGTGGGCTCTGGCTCGGGCTTCTACAGCAACCCTCTGCAAAGAACTACCAACAGGTCACAAGAACTATCTTAATCTCTTCCAAGGACAGTGTCCTCAATTGACCTAAGGATCTCCCATTAGGCCCCATCTCTTAAATGTTCCACTTCCCAGAATCACCAGTGAGGACCAAGTTTCTAACATGTGAACCACTTGGGCACAAACCACATCCAGTTCCATCCGTTTTGTTGCAGACGATAGCCTTTTATACTTCTCATGACTGAATGTTTCATTGTGTGTATGTATGTACACATATATATATGTATTATATTTTCTTCTGGATATAGATTTTAGAGGTGTTGTCAGTGTCTTGCAACTTCAGAGAGGGTTCTGGAACTGTGGGGTATATTGCTGGGAAACAGAAGGTGAAACTCTTGTAATAAATGAAGAGACCTACACTTGGGGAGATTAAGATGTTACCCAAGTCCTTAATTACAGCAGTGCCTAAAATCAGCCATACTGGTGATTTTTCAATTGTGTGACTATCAAGAGAGGCTAAGTTATAACAGTATGTAATGTAGCAGCCATTGTTAATTCCTATCATCTGTTTTGGGGTCATGTATTGTTTCTGTTGTTTTGATTTTATCTTCATTGTTGTTTTGTTAGATTTTTTAACCTTAAAATATAATTTAAAAGAGAGGCTAAGTTATGCTGAAATCACAATATCCTCTAAAAGCTCACAGACTTACCACACCAAAATTTATTTCTCCCGTATACCACATGGTGTAGCTGCAGCTCTGCTTGATTGTTGTTTCTAATCGGTGACCCAGGGTGACCGAGCAATGTCTAATTAGAAAATCACCTATTGCTAGAGTAGAAGTAAGCAGTGGCTCTGAGTTTTCTGCCTGGAAGTTGTTTCCCACTTGCACATTATCAGCCAGAAAAATCACATGTTCAGGTTTGGTGCCATAAAGTGGAGAGGGACTGCAACTATTTTTGAATAATGCAAGCTACCAGTAAATTTCCTTTCTAAGAGCATTTGAGTCATCTTTTTTGCTGCCTACAAATCAAAGGGTCTTACCTGAAAAAAGCAAATGAAACAATTAAATTAGACATTTTACTTTAAATAATCAATAGTTGGCAAACATTTGATAAATAGGAGTTACTATTTCCACGTGAATAAACACAGATCAAGAGAGTTATATATTTTTCAGTCAATGCATGTTAGATTTCTTTAATTTACATTTTATTCACTTATCCTGCTAACATGTATTGAGTTCTTTTTTTAACAGGGCAGATGATGTCCTAGATTTTAGGGATAAAAAATTAGTATAATGCATTTATATTTTAGTTTTCTAGTAGATTTCTTTTTTTTTTTTTTTTTTTTTGGTTTTTCT